TACAATATTTACACACACAAAACATAACATATTCTGTGTGCTACGTCTAGCTGCCGGTGCACCCGTCACATTATAAACATAATGGAATAGTGTACACAATATTTAAGTTTAAATCATTAAAATTCGATAATTACAGGTATATTAATAATATAGTAATACTCACATAGGATTTTGTAAGATAATACATTTATTAATTGTTAGTTTATCTTTAATGTTTTTTCTGTATTTTAGATTTATCCAATTCATATTATTTTTCTCTTTAAAAAACTAATTACCTGAATACATTTTTTCAGTTTTTTTGTAAGATATATTTTTATAGATACACTACTGTGTACACTCCTATATTTACTATTATAACGTAATTTTAATTTGGGATTCATCGTCATAGCTGCAAAGTAAAATTTATTTTTTCCTACTTTAGTATATAATATGTCAATTAAAGTTGTGGTTACCTGCGTCTCCTTAGATGTATGAAGAAAAGTGATATTTTATTAAAACGCTGGGTATAAATCATAAAAAATAAGTTTTTTTTTAAATTTGAATCAACTGAAATTCGAAATTAAATTTTAATTTACTAATCCCAACACTATATTTAAATCTATAAACATTAATTATTTAATTAATGCTAGATATTGATTTTAATTTTCAACGCTCTCTCGAAATGTACTCATAACAGGCAGCTGAATTTATTCACTCAAACGGTATATCCAAGACTTTGAGAACCCATGTGCGTTGGTCGCGTGTTAGGGTAATTTTGTTGGAATATTTGAGACTTAACGAATCATGACGGGATTTTAGATGTCAGCGGTGGATGCGAGGGAGAGAGGAGATCCGTACGAGAGGAGAGATGGTAGAGACGGAAGCGGTGGTCAGTCGGCGGGTAGTGGTGGTCTTCAGAGCACATCTGGCAAACTATTCAAGGGCCTAGCGCATGTCGTTCCAGACTTCGGACTTGGTAGCAGGCCACAAGACGGTCAACAAATCCATAACCAAGGGCATGCTGGAGGTGGAACGTCAAGTTTCATGCAAAAGCTGAACGATCTGACCCATCACAATCCTGTTAACAACACCACCATGAACCAACAAAATCAGCAACAACAGCAACAGCAGCCACAGCAACAGCAACAGCAGCCCGATCATGGTGTGGATAACATTCTGTCAAAGGGCAAAGAATTGATTTTCATGAAATTTGGACTGGGAAAATGATGTTTACCGATGACTATTAACGTAGTGTTCACTGCCGATGTCACTGTGATCCGTTTATATTGCTAACGTATTATTTAATGTATTTCTTTACGTTTCTTGATATTGGTAAATATTTTCATGAATTAAAAAGATATAGCAAACCGATATGCTCACAGTTGATTGAATACAAACATAAAGAAATAACAAAATTGATAAAAAAAATACTCTTTCTTCGAATAACTGTAATCGGTGATGAATAAAATATCATATGTCACTTGTTTATGTTTTAATTTTTAAAGTCACATTTGGATTCATTATGTTAATAGTCAACGGTAAATATTTTTTTTATAGAATATGTTGTCACGTATTACTCTCTTTTTGACTTCCATATAAGATTTAAAGACATAATTATTATTATTATTATTTTTATTTTCTAATCCGACTTATAACACGTACATTTAGTTAATTATTATTTTTTTTTTTATATAATATTATAATCCAATAATATAAAACAATAATGTAATTATTTCATTATTTCGATTGGTATACATCGTATTACGTACATATTATACACGTCATTATTATATTTTAAATATATTATTATTGATTGTTAATATTATATATAAATTTAAATTGTATAGTTTGTATAATATGCATACATAATAGTGTTATAATATTATTATATGGTTACGAATATTAAACGATAGGTTTGTTATAAGCTGTACGTGAGAAAAGTCAAAGGCTGTGATATTATTAGTTGTTTACTTACAACCGCCTGCACTGTATACTTGAAGTAAGACATTATTTTTTAATTACAAATTACACGTTTTCGATACAACATACCTACTAAATGCACACATCTGCGGTGGCGCCAGCTTCCGATTTTCCAGCATTCATGACTCGTCTTATCTCGAGGAGAGCCACTTTAAGGCCCGAAAACGACTTGTATACGTTGCAATATTTGCACGTGACCGCACGAAATGATCGCATAAATCATATAATATTCGTCGTTCGTGTACGCACTAGTTCTTTTAAATCTATGGAATTTCGTCAAAATGTTCAATCAAAAACGAATCGTATTCATAATAATATTATTACCTACCCACGTAACGATATAATGTAAATATATATTTTTTGGTCGTCTAAATTTTCACATGTTACAAACTAGAATTTTATTGCTCCATATACGTGCTTAAAATAATAATAATAATAATATAGAGTTTTCGGTGCCTCGATTATAATAATATTGTATAACAACACTGATTCCATTTCGCAACTGCCAACTATACATTATAATACTATATACGTACTTATTCTTTTCAATTTCATAATATTGTGTCGGCTGCTATTCGTGTTTTCGTCAAATATTATAATATAATAATGGATTATGTTAGGTTTATACTGAAACAGGATGTATTAGTTGTGTCTTATCAAGTCCTATATTATAGCCTTATCGATGTACATAGGATGACATAAAGAGATAGGAATAATTTAAAAACAGATGGAAAACTCTTTTTTCAAACGTTTCTTGTCATTCTCATGTATATAATATAATTTGTATGCACATACACATACGGTAATATTATTTATATACATACAACATGTAATAATATAACTATAATTATTAGGTACGTTCTTTATAACATGTGTATTGTTGTAAATAATTATTCTCACCTTTAGATTTTTACTAGAAAAAAATCTTTTATGAACATTGTTCGCGTTATCGTTTACTATCATTTTAATATAACATTAAAATTGTCTATAATTATATTCTACGATGATTACTTTTAAGCTATATAATGGATTATATCTAAAATATACTCATTTTATCATAATATGTAATGTAATTTTAAGGTACTTCAAATAAATTATTGAATGCTGTTCATAAATTAAAATATAATATCTTTCAAATATGTACAGTCTTGTTAATTCTAATCATTTGTGAGATAAATATATGACAAAAGTTTACAAATGTTTCCTATTCAGAGATGTAAAATTGAATGTTTTCACCCAACCATTAAAACTTCTTAAAAAAAATATTGAAACTTTAAATTTTTTTACATTAGACTAATTTGTTTTATATGACACAATAATTGTTTATAGGTACATATTACACACCTAAACCGGCCAAACCATAATAGGTATTATCAAGTAATTCAAAAATATTATTGAATAAAAATAGTGAGGTTATTTTATAACCATGCAAGGAGTAAATACGTACGTAAGCCACTGCATACAAAACCATGACTGGCCCACGGATTTAGGGGTACTACCATGATTTTTCTTTTAAATATAAATTATTTGCAGGTTATATATAAGTATACCTGTAACTTACAAAAGCTTATGGTACTAATAGATTATATTATTATATTGAATGAGTACTTAAATCCGTGTAGTCGGGAATAACACGAAAGATACATCAAGGGATTTACTGGGTTTAGAAGGTCGTATGTTCGAATAAAAAATGTTTGAAAAAGCATATTATGTTTAAACTACATCGTTAAAAAGTACAGTAATGAGAAGTAAATTATTCAATAAAAAATTTTAAATTAGTATAGGTAAATTATAATATATCGTCTAGTTAAAAATTATTCTGTATGCAATGCATCGATATTGTTTTGAATCCCCCAATAAATGAACCCAGAAATTTAGAACCCCAAAACCTCCTAAAAAATAACCCTATAGAAAAAATTATGTGTCTCTTTAACACATATTATATTCACGAGATTTCATTGCTTCTCTATGTGTGATTAAAAAAAACAAAAATTAGTATTTTTAGTCATAATAAATAATATATAAATAAAAACAAATACCTAGGTAGTCAATTTTTTTAAACCATTATAGCCATTATAGCTAGTATGACAGTAGTTGTTATGTGCCTGATCGATATCCATTCTGAACTGTTTTTATAAAATTATTTATCATAGAATCCTAATTGAATTCAAAAAATTGAAAATTCTCATAATATATCTCAAAAGGTTTTTTTTCAATAGTTTTTGTTGTATTTTAAAAACAATAATTGTGGAGACTTAAAAATCGTACGATTATACATGTTACTATACGACATGCCCAATGGCATACAAATATTTGGATTAATTTTAAGTTATAGGCACCTAAGTACCTAGGTATTTACACCATGAACCCATTTTTATTGTTCCATGGTAAGGCAGTATTGACTCAAAAGTTAATAGCAATAGTCAATAATATAACATGATAGAAAATACTGTAATGATTAAATATTTTTCATTAAATTCAAATTTAACTCACCCATTAACTACACCTGACAATTTTTTTTTTAATTTTGCAAAATTTCATATGGGCTTATTTTTCGATGGTTTTTTCGTGGTCTGAATTTCTGGGGTTATTTTTTCGAGGCGCAGTTACATTAAATACTATTTTCATATCCTAAACAAAGCAATAGGAACCTACCTAGTTCTTTCTCCAAGTTGTATACTTGTATACAGGGTCGGATTTAGGGCTGTGGCGGCTCCATGATCATTATAAGGTAAAGGTAAGGCCTTCGCAACTGAAGAATTTTTACTCGACTTACACGCTTGAAAAACGTTCACTCTTTTCTGGGCGGCTCTAATTGATTTGATCTTGGTGGTAAATACGGCCTAAACACGGCCCTGCTTGTATACCTACAGACTGAGGGACTTGGATGTGAAAACATTTTGTTCTTAATGAAAGTAAAGTTAATAGTAAAGTTTATTGGGAGAATTGTAGTTGGAATAATAAAAAGTCGGGAGAAATGGTAGCGACCCGCTTGATTACCATTATCAGCGGAAGAACTGTCCCCATTCGACATCCGGAATTCTGTGTGGAATTTGTTGTTTACTTTTAGGTGTAATCACGCAATAATAATATTTCGAGTCGAATTCAAAATTCAACGTTTATTTTATTCATTTCTAGTATTCAAGTATTATACCAATACTTGTTGTACAAATCCGACGAATACCTATAGGTATCAGTGACTTCAAAGCATGATATGTATTTTTTTTTTTTTAACTGTAAAAACCGAATAAATCATGAAAAATAATAATACCAGTTTTTAAAACAATCGTTTGCTGCACTTGAATGTACGCGTTTTTGCGATGTGCCCAATAATATTATTATACTGTACCTATGTTTATATTTCAATTTACAACAGGAATGTGATACGCAAACGCTGAAACTCAAATGTATTTTTCCGTCGGCTGTTGATTCATTCGTTGTGGTTGTGATTACGATTTAAATGTTTCAATCATGTCCGATGCCTGGCAAGAGATTCAAGCTGTGAAGAGCAAACGGAATTCACTGCGGGAAAAACTTCAGAAGAGAAAAATAGAGCGGCAAGTCATTCTAAATGAGTCATCTGATAAAATTGTTCCTAGTAAGTGGTAACTAGCTACGTCAGTAGTTTGTTGTTGGTAATTTATAAATTTATAATAATTCCATTTGCAGGGGGATCTCTTTTGCCGAGTACGAGTAATGCTGAAAACGAATCTGATTTCGATTGGAGCAAAGTTGGCGGCGAACGTGTATTACTTGAAATACTTGTTGATGTATCAGTTAATCTTCCAATCACATCTCATCAATTGGTCACTGATCTTTTAAAAAAAGAGTCTACCTACATATCACATTCATCTGTTGTTAATTTGCTGTACAAATTTGCTGCACAAAATCTTATAAGGTATTATTTGTTTTATAAAATCACTTTTATAATGTCTCATAACACCTATTATTTATTTAGTTTAAAAAATATTACAATTGATGGCCAGCAAGGTTTGAAAATATTAACAGCTGAACATGCAAAATTACTTGCAATGACTAATAATTTATCATCAGAGGTCGATTCAAACTTGCATCTTGAAAAATCTCGGTTGCTTATAGAAGATAAAATCAAGCAGCTTGAATGTAACTGACATTATTGTTACACATGTTTTATAGTAGATAACTATGAATTTAAAACATTTTCAGATGAAGATATTGATGAATGCTTAAAAAATCCAAAAGTACAAAAGTTATCAATCGATTTTAAAAAGTCTGATGAGTCTGATGATGACATAATGGTGAGTAAAATGTGAGGCAAGTGTTGTTTACCATGCACCTAGAGGATTGAAATAACATCGACATTTTTCTGACTTTAGAATGGTGGTAAAATCAGAAATTGTTATTCGGACTTGGTTTTAATGTTATAGCCATTTGAAATTTATCACGAGAATCATCCATAAACATGTTGCTTGACCGTGTCCAGATTTCTGATAAATGATATCAATGACTATTGATATTGTGTAGCTTCATAAAGTTATTTCAGAGTTTTAACTTAACTTAATTTGGTTAAAATTTTATTAAACACCATTGTTATAATTTATTTAATACATTATTAATTATTATAATTTTTTTTTTTTGGTGTTGCATTGAAATTAGTTACATTGAGAAAATATATTTACTTTATCCATTTTATGGTGGATACTGGTTTTTAATTATTATTACTTATATCCTCCTCACACCATCATTGTCATTTTTACTATTGTACATTAATCGTGGTTAAAAAGAAGTCCGAGCAACAATTTCTTATTGACAATCATTCTTGAATATGTTCTTGTACATATATGTATGTTCTAGCAATTTTATTTTAATTTCTTGAGTGGAAAGGTGAACTATACTTGTTCTAAATGTAAATTGTAAAACAATAAGTAAAATTATTATAATGTAATCGAAATGTTGATTATATTATTCTGGTTTAGTCCCTTATTTCAATGCCTTCCATTAAAGAAAAAGAAATTAAAAAAATTAGTGAAGAAATAATGGAACTGCTTACCAAACAAACAGTTAAAGAAAAATCTTTATGTGAAAAGTTTCGGTCTAAAGGAGGTAAACATATTAAGCATCATAATAAATTAATAGCAAATGATACTAATAGTTATTTTTTATAATAGGAACACATGTTATGGAATTTTGTCCACATGGTACTCGATCAGATTGCATGGAAGGCCATGTTTGTAAAAAGCTTCATTTCAAAAAAATTATACAAATGCATACTGATGAACTTTTAGGTGATTGTTCTTTTCTGAACACTTGTTTTCACATGGATACGTGTAAGTAAGTATCAATACATTTTATTATGATATATATTTATAAAACTTAATTCAATTACTAATTAGAAGGTAACTATAATGTTGATATTTCAATTATAAATATTAAATACATGTATTGGTAAATATTCTATGTATTACAGTGAATCGATTATCGTCATGTTTCCATATATTTGTTGATGAGTTACTTATATAAATTACTTTAAAAACATAAATATATATATAAGTGCTTGAATAAACGCTTTCAAAGGAACTTGTTCCAATGATTTCATTCAATTTTAAGGAACTTAACGAGAACGTAGTTCTTTTTTATGTGGGAAATTTATTTTTTATTATTATTGTTTTTATTTCTTTCTTTTTTCTTTCATTTATTCATTAATATTATAGGTAATTTAAATAATTTTTAAATCAAAAGTTTTACAATTTTTTTTTTAGAAATTTTGACCAATATATTGAGCTATATAATTAAACCTGGGTTATTATTCACAATGAAGAATTATGTACAACTAACTTCTAAGATTTCTTACTCACTTCCTATACTTCCAAGAGTTCTGCTTAAATTCCCAAACTACCATTTAATTTCCAACACTTCCATCAAATACTGCATGAGTACTCAATTTATATTATATTTAATTATTTACTTGCAGTATACATAATATGGCTACTAAATTACATGTAGGGTACATTCTTAGGCTACCTATGTAAATTTAAAATATTTTAGTTATGATCAAACCTATTTAAGTTATTTATCTATTGTTAATAAAACATTTTTGCATGTTGTATAATATTTTTTTATAAAGCAGTTAAAACGTCTTAAATAGTTTATTATAGTAGGTAATATGTATATTATATTATGTATATTTGTATAAAGTTCTAAATTGATAATTATATTCAAATAACAACAACATAATAAAATAAATAATAAGTCTAATAAGTTTTATCAAAATAAAAATCTAAATTACTTAACAGTTAACTTTTACCATTTTTAAATTCTGTTAATAATATCAAGATTTTTAACAAACTTCTATTGCTCATATAAAAAAATAAACAGTAGAAAAACAAAACATAATTCATATTCTTGAATCCATTTAGCACGTTAGAAAAAATGTTGGTTTTGATTTCAGACTTTTATGTATATATACGAATATTATGTGAAAGAATATAATGATACATTATAACATATGGTCTAAGCCGTCAGGACAATTTTATAATTTAAGTAACTTATTTTCAGAGTTGAACGATTTGAGTATTATCTTTGTTCTATTTTAGTTTTTCCCAATATTAGCTTATTTATTATCCATAAAGATAATTATAGTGTTCTTCAGTTTATTTATCATTCTCATGTTTTCCTAAGTTGTATTCTTAATTTTATTTGTTGAAACAACTGATTAAAAATACTATAAATATTAAAAATTTATTAGTATTTCCTTTATTATTTAGTGATGTGATTTAACATAAAAATAAACAAATAAATTATGTATTTTTTTTTATCTTGTTAAATTATGTTATTTACTTGTTATAGATATGTTCACTATGCAGTTGATGGTGTAACTAGTAAAATGAATTTAGTAAACGCCCTTAATAGTTTTCCATCAAGAAGAGGGTTGATTAATGATAAATCTGAATTACTTCCATGTCAGTGGATTCAGTGTGATTTGAGGTTTATGGATTTCACTTTTTTAGGTGAATAATGAGTCAATATTCAATTGTTTAAGACGTATTCTGTCTAATTAATTACTTTTGGTCTTAATACGTTGTTGTGTAATCTAGGAAAATTTGCTGTTATTATGGCCGATCCACCATGGGATATTCATATGGAACTCCCTTATGGTACTTTATCTGATGATGAAATGCGGCGATTGGGTATTCCACAATTGCAGGATGAAGGACTTATATTTCTATGGGTTACCGGCCGGTAAGCTTAGATGCTTAGAGCATAATAATTGTATTAACTGTATTTAATTGTTATTATTGTTATAACATATACTGTTTAAAGAGCTATGGAGCTTGGCAGAGAATGTCTAAAATTATGGGGTTATGAACGAGTAGATGAGATAATTTGGGTGAAAACTAACCAATTACAAAGAATAATAAGAACTGGTCGAACAGGTCACTGGCTGAATCATGGCAAAGAACATTGTTTAGTGAGTTATTAAATATTTTTAAATCATAATGTTTGTCCTACATCTAGTAATTGACATTAAGTGAGACACCTGCTGTGTATTTTTTTAAGGTGGGAAAGAAAGGCAACCCTCGCAGCTTAAACTGTGGTTTGGATTGTGATGTAATAGTGGCTGAAGTACGAGACACTAGTCACAAGCCTGATGAAATATATGGTATTATAGAACGATTATCACCTTTTACTAGAAAAATTGAGTTATTTGGACGGTCTCATAATATTCAACCCAACTGGTGAGTATATACTTTGCGATATATTGTATTGTTTAGTTGCAATGGAATTTTTTATGCAGGATTACTCTTGGAAATCAAGTAGAAGGTATCAGGCTAACTGATCAAGATCTCATAACAAAATTTAGGAAAGCATACCCATCTGGAAATTGTTTGACAACATTAAAGAGGAATACATGAGTTTGGTTGTATTGGTATTGTTGCTGTTGTATGAATCCATTAATTTTTCTAATGATGTGTAAGAAAAAACAAATATCAGTTTGAAAATGTTTTATTTTATTTTATTATGTTATTTATTTGTTGTAAATTAATAGTTAGTATGTAATTATTAAATTATAACAAATAAAAGTACCCAAAATCAATGGACCAGTTTATTTAGTTAAAATGTCATTACACAAACATATAAATTTTATACAATATGTGTTGGCACTTGCTTTGCTTAATATTCTCGGGTCCGGTAAGACACATAATGTAATAAACTTGACAGGCCAATGCTTAAGTATACAACTTGTTTGAGAGCATAATAAATTATTAATTAATAAATAATCTTAAAATTAAAATTCAATACCCTAGAACCTAACTATTAGGTAATATGTTTGAATTTGATTGATTTTCATGCCACGTTGCTCAATTATATAATATTATAATAATGTAGTACATTAAATCTATACTATAAGAAAAAAAACGTTTGATGTTATAAGAATTTCACAAGTAGAGAAAAATGTGTTACAATGATTTATAGAATAACTTGTGGCATCGACATCAATTCTAACACATTTGAGGTGGTTGACGTTTAAGGTATTATACAGTTTAATTTAATATATTGACAAATCTCGGATGTAAATAAACGCTTCCAATGTTTAAAAAATCATATTAAATTAAAATACAAACATAGTATGTACCTAATGTGTATAATACGAAGAAAAAAAACGCGATATAATATTAAAATCGTCGCGAATAATAATAATAATAATAATAATATATTATGTATACGCCATCATGAATTTTTATGCTATAATATAATAATATTAAAATAAATAATACAATTATTATGTAGGATCAGTACAAATAGTTTTTGGGCTCTTCGGTGGGCTGTCCGCAAACGCCGTGGTACTGTTTGCTGACCAGCGATCGGGACCGGCAGTTCTCCATTTCCAAGAAACAGTCGTTGCTGTAAGTCTTCAGGTCGGTGCCGCAAATCGGGTCGTACAGAGTCGGGCACACCCGCTGGCATCCTTTGAACTGGAATCCTGTCAGACACCTCTTCATGGGCACCACGTACACGTGTTTTCTACGAATAGATAAATATTAAATAAATTGACATAAAAAGGTATCATCAGGACTCTGAAGTCTCTGGACTCGTACCGTTGGGAATTATGTTTTTAAATCATCAGAGAAGTCCAACAATTAATTCCAAGCCGCCCAGCCAAATCCTAAAACAACTTTTCAGTGCGCATTTTCACTCTTAGTTAATGGCTACCGCCGTCAATTTTAGCTCAAAAGACCTTAGTTTTGATAAAATTTAAGTTAGTTTACGTTGTCCGGTTTTTATTCTGAGAAAATATTTGAACTCGACAGAAAATTGTCTACAGATCGCACGGAACACTTTGTAAAAATTAAATTTTATATTTATTTCGATGGCATTGAATTTCATTTAAACTATAATCATTTACAACTAACACGTCATAGATCTCAGGCGGCTAAAATGAGATTAGAAATGTCTAAATGTTGCCCCTTAAATAATAGTGACAAGGCCCCTTATAATAAGTTTTCTCAATTTCCAAACATTTGGTTCAAGTCCGGTAAACCCTTTGCTATCGTAACGGCAGCATACCCCTAGCCCAAAGTGTACACTCACCCACAGTTTTCGCGTTTCATTTCGCATTCGTTCTTGTACAGCTTGTTGTCAGATCCGCACACAAATTCTTTGGTCTTCTCACATTGTTGGTGGCACAGGGCCGTCGTGGGACAGTGGTGCGGCGGAACGGCCACGACTTTTTGCCCGCACGTGTTCATCTTCAAATCGCACTCTGACCTGTTGACGGTAAATTGTCATATCATTACCAAATAGGTAGTCAGTAAAGTGAAGTATAATATATTAATAATATTGGTTTATATGCGTAGGGGTAGATTGTTGTTTTATGTGCTAAATATAAGTTATGCTTCTTTAATTTAGTACCTAAAAATAATAATTCAACGCGTTAGAAAACGTTTCTGAACAGAACTCTCTAAAAACTGCACTTTTATATTACTCGTTAACATTTCTAAACGTCTTATTCAACGTTTTTCATTGCTGTAAAAACTGTGATTTACAAAAACGTAAAAATTGATACAAATTGGTATATAAATCGATATAATCCACTGCAGCACCCGTAATGTAATTACATATTCATTTAATTATTACTTGTACCCGCAGTTTGTCCGTATACCCATCTAAATTCGTGTTCAGCGTACATCGTAATGTATTATTATGTACTTAATTCGTATGCGGTATTGGCATTAGGTACTAACTATAACAGTGAATACTGACCTGTAAACGTTGCCGTCGGACGCGCACACAGGTTCTTCTCGTTCGTTTTCACAGCTCTGCGGGCACTTTTCAGTGGACAGCAGCGACGAGCACTTGCCCAAGTGTGCCATTTGTATTCCTCTCCTGAAACGACACAGCGCGACGAATTTTAGTGACAATAATAACGTTTACAGAGAGTGTCACACATATTTTGTTACTTAAAAAAATCGGTATCGATATACATACTTGCAATTGAACCGATCGGTATACCTACCCATTGGTTATAAATATACTACCTATAGTATTACTGAATACACCTACCTATTATACCTAATATTATTTAAACATTTTAATAACTTCTAGGTTTTTTTTTTTAAAGTCTTAAACTATATAAACGTATAATATTTTTAAGCATACCACCCAGTGTCTCACCCACGGTTGATACGCACGCATTATATATTAATTTATTATTCAGTAACGTGCAACTACACGGGTTGTCGGATTCTATCAATGTGTATTATATCGAGGGCTCAATCGATAGAGTCACACATCGTGTGTTGAGCGACGACTATTACGTATATTATTATCGTTTATTATTATGTCTGTAGAACTTTTCTGTAAAATGTTTTTTACACTTTTAAAACTCGTACAGTATAGAAAATCTCATGAGTGATGTACGTAATAAAATAAAGGTAAGTGCCGTTTTTTTTTTTGCCTGGGAGCAATATAACTTTTATTTTTTGCGCTTGAATTCCTTTTAAATCACACCTACATAATGTAATCTGCGTTTAATGATGCATATAAGTAATCTGTGTGGTGTAACATGTATAGGTAGTAGGTACGTACAAACAAGTGGCTTGTTCCAATTGGCATTGATTTTTGTAATTCTGAGCGTCGTTTCCACAGATTGGATCCACATCATCCGGACACTGGCCTTTGTTGCACTTGTTGATTCTGGATCTACACTTTTCCAAATCCACCTTAGTCACCTTCTTCTTGGTCTGTTGTCTGTTGAACAAAAATAAGTAACGAGAAACGTTGAGCCATCTATAAGTATACCGAAAAAACCTCGAACTCCTAACCTAACCTAACCCAACTTAATTTCGCTCATTGATATAATGTGAATTAGATTAAGTATTATTATAGAGGAGTCACATGGTCAGGTCAGGTCACATTATTCGTTTTATTCCGTTCTCACCCGCAATTGAGCATTTTCATTTCGCACTCGCTACGGTACACGTTGCCATCAGAGCCGCACGTCAGTCGGTCCTTCTCTTTGTCGCAATTCACCGGACACGCGTTCGCTGAACCCACCCGGTTGCGTTCTTGGCTTAGACAGAACGCCATGGGCACCTCGAATACGTGCTTGCCACAGTTTTTGGACTTCATCCGACACGCGTTGCTGTAGATGTTGCCATCCGACCCGCAAGTGGGCTTTGACACCCTCCAACACGATTCCCGGCAGTGTCTGGTCGTCTGACAGTGTTTCTTGGATGTCCTCACCACCCCTTGTCTGTCACAAAAATAATGATTATATTTTAGTGTTCACATACGATGTTATTATATTATATACATATCCCGGTTACTCTCTATTATCATTTAATAATGCATTTCTTCAAATTTTGATTTTTGAAATTTGTAGGTGAGTTTATCTATCTATAATGGCCACAGGTTATAGATGTGTTAACTAGTTTAGGAAAAGCTTAATTGGGAAACCATAGTATCTAAGTTTTTAGAATATAGGATATCCCTTCAAATATTATTCAAACTCATAAAATATTACTGATAGCCGATAGGCAATACTCCTGAATTAATGGATGCAACGGTGAATAATGCATACCTAATTGTTAAAATGTCTGCTATATAACAGATCCCGCTGTACTTAAACTTTTGAGATCAATTTATTCAGTTACTACACTATCGTTCGATTTCCAATTTAGATGTTCCAAAGTTTAAGGAAACCCACGCTTAAAAATATACAGTATTAAAGAGAGGTTATCGTTTGAAGAAAAAACAGTTTGCATCGACACAGAACACTCTTTTAATGGGATAAAAATCTAAATACTGTAAAATATGGCTTTAATAATTAAGTGGGTACTTATTGTACTTAAAAATTAAAAAAATTCTTGATTTTAATGAATGCATTAATATAGAGAGCGTGTTCGATGAATCACCCTGTTCCGGTATATATAACCATATATCGTACATATACCACCAGGTCCATAGTATATTATGCTATTAATTATTGTGTGCAACGTATTGCAGACCCTTACCCGCAAGTGAACAGTTTCATCTGACAAGTGTTCCTGTAAACGTTCCCGTCGGATCCGCAAATAGGTCCGTCCATAGGCGCCTGGTCACAGTTTACCGGACAGTTTTCCCTGTGGGCTGATATGTTGTTGCATGGTCCCAAGTGTGACATCGACGTGCCAACCCTGAACGGACATGAAAGTGTTACAGATTGCCCAAGATTATAATTTATTATATTTACATCATAAAACAAATCATAAATTGTAAGATTCGGTATTACAAAGTTATGTTTTATTTCAATTATATTAAATTATTATACTACCCTGATATAGTGTATATTTATGTAAATATTATATCAGTGACGCATCCAGGAGGGGATACGGGGTTGGTAATCCCCGCGGAAGATTGTTAAATGATAAAAAAAAAAAATAATTAATAGCATATAATTTTCTCATACAATTTGTCAACAGTTAATTTTCAACTCCCCTCCCCCTCCACCAAAAAAAAAATACTGTACACACCACTGTAAACGCATACATTATTATGCCAGTAAGGTTAGTATGTATCGGTGTTCATACCGTTTTCTTCTTTCGCTTTAACACAAATCATTGTTATTTAAAAAAAAAAATATTTTAATTCTTTTTCATCCCCCACGCAAGTGAACACCACTGCTCTGCGTTCTATGCATTCGCAGACAGGCGTCGGTTATTATATTTAATATACACGGTGTACTGACCTACATATTTCCACTTGCATCATACATCTGTTTAGGTACGTCCGGCCGTCGGTACCACACACCGCGTCCTGTTCTTTGCCACAACGATGTTCGCAATTCGATCCATACGCCCGCAGACACTGCGTTGAACTCTCCGCCACTGCTATGCCTGCCAGTGCACAAGCGATAAAGGAGAAAAAAAAGAGGGCGATAGGTATGAGTATAATTTTAGTATCGGAAACTTTATTACAACGAAAAAATGGTATATTAAAATCATCGAACGTATAATAACAGAAATAATTTTAAGTGGTATTAACCATATATATTGGTAACAATAATATTAATTATTATATCGTTATTTTTCACCTTTTCCGCAAGTCTTCTTTTTCAGTTCGCACTCGTTCGGATAAATTATGCCGTCCGAACCGCAAACCGGTTCTTCGGAACTTCCCTGCGGACATATCCTTGGACACGCGGAATCCCTGGCTCCGGATGCGCCTGCAGTAACAACAATTGATTTCATTAATTATGGGTACCACAATAATAACATATAATAATAACGAACAGATTTCTACACTGCTTCATCTACAGATTTCTATCAGATTTCTACACTGCTATTAATTCTGAATAAAACGAACACAAAATAATTTAAGCTCGTCCGCTATGCTTAGAGTTGGAAATTTGTCCACGGATATAACAATTTCAAACTATATTTAGATAATAGTATACCCCGAAATACCAAAGATATAATTAATATTATTATCTGGGTATATATCCGTGTCCATTTTCCAACCGAGAAAATGGTAAAACGAGATTAGTTTGATGACACGAGTTCTTCGACTGTTGGGGGCACAGTATGCCTATTTAGAAGTCTGTGTAATAATATAATAATATAATCTCAACAATTGATTCAGTTTCAATACACGTAATATAAATGGACGTACAATTATCGGCACGTGACACACTTCTCCAGTTCTCCGCATGTCATGACATGTTATAATTAGAGACCGGAATTATATGCACTAAAAATGTGGCAAATAAGATGCAAATATGCAAAAGCAAAAGGGTCAAAATATGCATTAATATGCACAAATAATTGAGAAATATGCTCAAATATGCATATATATATGCATTATATAACTCCAAACAACTACAAACATTATAATTTATAAGTTATAACATATAACAATATATAACAAAATTAGGATTATAACTTATAATACTTGAAACGTATATTATTATACTTATTAATTTAAAAAAAAACGCTTTCGTCCGTCACCGCTTCCGCTCTGCAGCGTATAGACGATTGCAAAGATCTTTGACCGAAGCAACGAATATGGTCTGCGGTAAATCTAATATTTCACAGGTACCTACGTATGATATTATGCGATAAGTACTGTTCGCGTTCGGTGACTTGCCATCGTGCGGGTAAACGTCATTCGTCAAGGATGTATTGCTAAACGGTATGTGTCCATAATTTCTATACGTCCAATCGTACCTAAAGAAGTTTTTTTTTATGCACTCACGATGCGCGTGTTGCACATGTCGTTACACATGCAGCAAAGTGAAGTCTAAAAAGTTCGCGAAGTACATTAAAAAGTTGTCTACGTTCTGTATGGGCTCAGTCGGGACAGTGTAGCATTTTCTAGTGTTTTTCGACCTCTATACGTAATATGAGTGTATCCAGTATGTACAATGTACATACCTATTCCTATGTAACTACCACATAAATTTAAGTTCAATGTTTCATAATACAATACGGAACCGCAATAACTCGAAAGTCGAATTTTCGATAATATGAAGGAATATCTGGGCCCCCTAGCTGTATTCTTTCAATACGTACATTGGTACATTCAATTTTTCTGTAACTCGAATTTTCGATAAATAACATTTTCTTTCCCTGATCGATTTGAGTTATCGATGTTCCGCTGTGTATATTAGGTGCATATAATATTATCCCTAACAACAATATATTGTCCAACCCCGTACCATTTTATATAGGTCACAAATACGCTCCCCCCCCCCCCAAATACACACCTAAACAGGTAAAAACATGCAATCACATATGCCAACTGTATTATTGTTCTGCCATTATTCGCTCTTAAACTCGTTATAATACCTATTATTGTCTTAAAAATCGTTACAAGACAGTTATATTGACATTCTAATCGAACACTGATTAACAGTGATGGTATCCACGCCGAAAGGTCCTATCGAAACACCAGCCAATCCCTAACACGCCTAAAATAATATGTTCACAATAGTCGTCTAAAATATACCAACTGCGCATAAATGCGCCTCAGCGTGAGCATAGGTACTCGGTGTATATTTTATTTCCAGAGAGATTCAATCAAACCGCGCGTCTTCGAGAGTGTGACGGTACCTACATATTTTATAGGAAAGTGCAATAATTTGCGCGTCGTGTCGATATAATATAGGTCCGAGTATCTAACGCAGAACGTTGTCGTGTTTCACTTAAAAAAATATTTAAATGCGGATTAGATTTCGTCGGTGTGTGTCACGCTTCTCGCGTGCCGTGATTTACTGTGTCGTTTTTTTATTGCGCGCCGCATTTGCAGTCGTTCGCACAGAGGTATACAAACGCTCAGTCACGTCAATTAATCCCCCCACCCCCTCCCCCACTTTACCTCGCCCCGTCGTCCCTATAAAAATATACGAATGTAATATTATTGTTATGTATGAATAACGACCGTGATTTCCGATCGATCACGATCGTTGATCTCGGCTGTTGTTTTTTCACGGTGCCGTCCGTACATAGGTATATATAACACAACATTATCATTATAATAATATTTCTGCTGGTTAATGTACTGTGATAGGTAGGTACATCGTATAATATTATTACGTGCAATCACTGGTCCTGTGGTTATATTTTACTAGTCGCTCGTGTGCAATATATATATATACACACGTTGACAGGAACCTATAATGGATCCAAACATAAGCATTTGTCTTACTCAGTGGCGGATCAAGGTTGTTTCCTCTATCATATTATAATAATATATTAAGACGCGACGTACGCACCTATAATAAATGATAGTTTTTCCGTGTAAATACTTCGCCCTCCATACCCTTTCCCAATCAAATGACGTCCTAAAAATGTACTCAAAGCTATCTTATAACAATTAAATAATAGAAAATCTAAACTATTCTGAATTACAATGAAAAAAACAATATTCGATTTATTTTCCCGCCGCTCTATATATTTGGCATAGTACAGCCTATAACTTTAAACGCTTAGTCTATATGTATATCTAATTTAATTGTTGAGCACTGAAAGCTAAATACATTTAAAAAAAAAAAACTTTAAGCGCAGTAGAATAATTGATAATAGTATGATACATATTATCTTCAAGAGACGCCTAATATTTTTAACTTTACGTACTCTAAAAGTCTAAAATAAATGTTATCTTAAAATGCCGATATCGTATACTTATAAGAACTGAAAGTTAAACAATTTATACTCAATTGAATATATTTGATTTCTTTGGTCACTCCATCATCAAAATATAATGATATTTTATATTTTTATAATAAATGAGGGTATACGTTTTTTTCTTTATAACCATAGTTCTTAATCAATGCATTTTTATTTGTGGCGTCATTTTCTTTTACCAGTTTCGAAAAAATCGACATTTAACCTCATTTTAGCCATTTTCAAGTGTCTTTTTTATAGAACTAAGAACATACAATATACGTATTCGATATAAATGTATTGCGATAGTTGAATAATAAATAACATACTCGTATCATTTTAATATTATACTACAGTGGTGTTACTATACAGTTTGAATTAAACTGATCGATGCATCGATGCATGTCATTTCCATCGTTCCGGGTTGATGCTCTTGAATCTGCATTTCATTACTTGTGTTATTTTTTATTTCGATGTACTTAAGAAATTAATATGAAAACTATAATTTACAAAAAAAAAAACATAAAGAATAAAAATATAAATTTTAACAATAAGAAATCGCGTGTAGTAGGATATATATATATTTTTTTTATCAAAGTTGAAATCTCGGTAACAGGTAGTCCATTGGCAAGGATATATTTTATTATATTTGCACACAATAATACCCACATGATTTTATTATTTTATGGTCGATGGGGAATTGTGAGGTAGGTATACCTATAAAGCTGAACTGTTGAATGACACGCGTGTTGAATATCCCAGAAAAAATCATCTAAAGTAAAACCGTCAACTAATAATGTTTTTAATCCTCTGTTTCGCCGGGAGTATTTGCTATTTCTCGTGCACGACTATACGTGTATTCGGATTATATATGATAAGGACGACTTCGTTTTGATCTGACTCTGCAATTTCGAGTGAATATTGCGCATAAGCTCTACGGCAACTCTCAAGTCGGGTTATAATATTATGTAAAGTGTATGTACGTTATATTGATGTACACACTTACACGGTACGTAAAACGAGTTTCCGTCGGAAAACACTCGATACGATGTGTATACAATAAAGTTACTGCAGGATATCGGTCAAAATATACTTACAAGCACTTACAGTCGTAATGGATATTACATGGTAATTCCTATCTATGCCCATCGAATATTATTTGACATTCATCCGCGATGTAATATAAAATATTTAATTTTAAATAGCAGGGGGGGTATTTGGGGGCTTCTCCCCTCAAACACTATCTAATTTTTTTTAAAGATTATTCGACATTACTATAGCAGAGCTTCAGCCCCCTCCCCAAATGTCGAACTCTATTTATACGCTTATTCTAACGATGGGCATTGATTGGTATCCAGATGTCTGTAACACTTCTATTTCAACCTTTTTTTTTTCATTCCCACTGATATAGCGATATAGTGTTCCGGATATGAATAAGATAAAATGGCAGTGAGACGCGTGTTTGCAAAAAGTTTTTCCTGGTAGTACATGTTCAATATGCATTAGGTATTGCAACCGGAATTGCGTGTATATACTATATTTTATGCTATGCGTAGGTATACACATGATTTTTTTTTTTATTAAAAAAGTGCACATTATTTACAATAAGTATAGTATACATGATAACGTTTTGTTACCTATACGTCGAAAAATGTCTAGTTTAGCGTATCGTGTGCTGCACATAGCTAAACGATGATGAAATAGTTTATGCCAGTAATAAACAAAACAATGCTCCGTATTGTCGAATGAACATTTTTTATCTCGCGGGAAAGTTTAAGTTGCATTTATCACTCGGGTACAAGTTGTGCCGCCGTACAACATATGTATATATAGTATAACCGTAATTATTAGTCTTCACACGCCGCCGTTACATTTCTACATGTACTTTACGTTTCTGCAGCGCCCACGTTCAGGTTACAATATATGAAAGCGCTCTTTTACTTATACAATTTTCTTCAGACGGCACTATGATTCCGGACCGCAGGCACCTGTTTTCCACGAATACGACGGTCGCCGGAACGATGTACGACGGCCGGATGAGGGGGAGGGGGTGTGTGTAGAA